TGGCGATGTGAATTAATGATTTCTGTGCTTCCACAGATACCACAACTTGATATTGTAACAAGGTTGTCCTTGTCTCAAATCCGAAAGCTGCAGCTGGTGTGAAATGCGGCAGCCAGGCTGTTGATGGGGTTCTCTACACGAGATCACATCCAGCCTGTGCTGAAGGCATTGTACTGGCTGCCAATAGCATACTGGATTCGTTTCAAGGTGCTGGTTTTGACCTTTAAAGCCCTATATGGTCGGGGGCCTGCCAACCTGAGGTACTGCCTTTCCCCATATGTGCCCCACAGAGCACTGAGGTCGGGAACGCAAAATCTCCTGACTCTCCCTGGCCCAAAATATGCCAGACCAGCCATAACAAGGGCCAGGACCTTTTCAGTGGTGGCTCCACACTGATGGAATGAGCTCCCAGAAGACATCAGGGCCCTGTGGGACCTTTTACAGTTCCGCAGGGCCTGTAAAACGGAGCTCTTCCACCAGGCCTTTGATTAGGAGCCGCTACTGATGAATGTACCATCATAAGTTGAATATGCCATGCCCCTGTTACAACATCGGATGGTGTTTTCTAACTGGATCATGTACAGGAAACTGCCGCCATCTGTTTACACTGTTTGTACTAGCACTTTATGTAATTGTTTTATTATGAATTTTATAGCATTTATTTATCTTATTGTATTCTGACTTATGTAAGCCGCTTTGAGCCAGTTTGTACCGGCAAGGTGGGGTATAAATTGGAAATAAATAAATAAATAAATAAATAAAGGTTTCACCCATTATTTTTTAGATTTCTAGGCAACCCTTCCAAACATTCCCTGCTCTGAGCAAGCTGGTGAGACTGTGAATGAATGCATTCCTACGCATAGATACTGGCCCCAACTGACTGGTAATGCTCTGACCTTCCTATCAGCTGGTTGGTAAACTGCTCAGAGAATGGATGTGCATTCTGCATGACTTCTCCTTTGATCGTCATCACAACCACTGCCACCACTAGCCAGTGGGACTGGAGCAGAAAGTGTATAAACAGCAAGGATGAGAAACTTAAAATTATTCTTACCACCACCATCACTTTCCACTCTGTCTCTTGGCTCATCATAAGCTGTTGCAGGAGGCTACGGACTTATGGACCCCACAACCCCTCATGCAGTAGCATGTGAAATGGTGGACTAGAGCTGAATTCAGTCATCTGGTTCCTTACACTAAGTCAAGCCATCAGTCCATTTTTGCTACCTTCCAAGTCTTTCCCAGTCCTGCAAAAACGTTTAACTGGAGGTGCCAGGAGTTGAACCTGAGTCTTTCTACAGGCAGGAAACTTGGGTCTTTTCCACATTCCCCTGCCACTCAGTGTTTGAGTTGAGGCAATTTAGGTCCACAGCAAAACGCCATCCAAATAACCCGGGAAAACAGCAGGATGACCACTGAATTGAGGTAATGTCATGCAGAGGGGGGGAATGGAATAAAAAGAAGGTTGAATTCAATTTTCGTGCTTGGAGGACACCACAGTGAACATGGATTAAAAGGAGAGTGCAGAAAGGACCATACTCTGCAACTGCGTAGTCAGTGCTGCATAGGTTACAATTGTCCTGTTGAGTGAAAAGGATGTTGGAGACTTTTATTTAAAATGCTGACTTTTCCACATGCGGAAAATGTTTGGACAAGTGGTTCCGAAGTCAAAGAAAACATCTGGGTGCTTGAGAAACTTGCAAGTTTATCCGGCATCTTCATATAGAATCACAGAACCACAAATGTAGATCTGTTCTTAACTATGGAGCCACATAGTCCTATAAGAGACACCAAACGCTCTCCAGCACAGTTTTGGTAATGTTTGGTAAAGCTGCTGCTTCTTGGCCATCAAACAATATCAAGCCCCCCCCCCTGTCTTCTTATTGCCCACCCACCCCTTGAATGAAACACGTACACAAGTCATGGGTTAAATTGGTATTTATTTATACATAAGCTGATCTGCCTCTATTATATCAAATTAAGCACGGGTTACCTTATACCTGCAAAGCGGGCTTCCTCAGGGCAAACCCACCCTGGCTCAGAGCCAGGTTCAGAATCCTTCCGTACCCCACTCATCACGGCCTGCATGTTATATGCGTAGAGGGGATGTGGGAGCACCCCTCGCCCATGACTGCTAAGCCTTAAGGCTTGACGTATGCTCCCCCATCTCTGAATGGACCCCAGTCTGAGCATCCTGGACTGCTAAGCCACTAGGTGCCCAGTCTGAGGATCCCTCCTATTGCCGATATCTAGGGGTGCTTGCCAACACAAATAAGGCCCCCCATAACCCATGCTTTTCCCACTTACCCAGAATGGGCCTAACCAGGTTAAAGGTAAAGGTAAAGGTTCCCTTGCTCGAAAGCCAGTCGAATCCGACTCTAGGATTGCGGTGCTCATCTCTGTTTCAAAGCCGAAGAGCCAGCGCTGTCCGAAGACGTTTCTGTGGCCATGTGGCCGGCATGACTAAACACCAAGGTGCACGGAACGCTTCCCACTGAAGTGGTACCTATTTATCTACTTGCAATTTCTTGCTTTCGAACTGCTAGGTTGGCAGGAGCTGGAACTAGAGATGGGAGCTC